AACTAATAAATGAATTCAGCAAAGCTGCAGTATACAAAAGCAACACACCAAAATCAGTTGCATCTCTATACACTAAAAATGAACAATCCTAAATGGAATTTTAAAAAATTCCATTTAAAAAAGCATCAAAAAGAATAAAATACTTAGAAATAGGCCTAACTAAGGTGAAAGATGACACTGAAAACTACAAAACACTGTTAAAAGAAATTAAAGAAGATACAAACAAAAGGAAAAAACATGCTATGTTCATGGAGTGGAAGATTCATATTGTTAAGATGTTCATACTACCCAAAGTGATTTACAGATTCAACACAATCCCTATAAAAATCCCAACAGCATTTCTTGTAGAAATAGAAAAATTTATCCTAAAATTCATACAGAATCTAAACAGACACCAAATAGACAAAACAGTCTTGAAAAAGAAGAGCAAAGTTGAAAGACTCATACCTCCTGATTTCAAAACAAAGCTATAGTAATCAAAATAACATGGTAACGGCATAAAGACAGACAAATAGAGCAATGAAAGAGAATAGAACACCCAGAAATAAACCCTTGTGTATATGGTCAAATGATTTTCAACAAAGATGCCAAGACCTCTTGATGAGAAAAGGACAATTTCTTTAGAAAACAGTGCTGGGAAATCTGGATATTCAGATGCAAGAGAATGAAGTTGGACCCTTATCTTACACCATACACAAAAATTAATTCAATATGGGTTAAAGACCTAAACATAAGACCCGAAACTATAACACTCCTAGAAGAAACCATGGGAAAAAAAGCTACATGATATTGAATTTGGCAATGATTTTTTGGATATGATGCCAAAAGCACAAACACAAAAGTGAAAATAGAGAAATGGGCCTACATCAGACTTTAAAACTCTGTGTATCAAAGGTCACAAGAAGTGAAAAGGCAATGTACAGAACTGAAGAAAATATCTGCAAATTACATATCTGATAAGGGGTTAATATCCAGAATACATAAAGAACTCCTACATCTCTACAACAATAAATTAAATAATCTGATTTAAAGATAGGCAAAGGACTTGAATAGACATTTCTCCAAAGAAGGTATACAAGTGGCCAACAAGCCCATGAAAACATGCTCAACATGGATAAACAAAATGTGGCATAAAAATACAACAGAATATTACTGTGGTCCAGCCTTAAAAAGAATAGAAATCCAGTCACGTGCCACAACCTTAAGGTCATTATACTAACTGAAACAAGCCCGCCACAAAAAGACAAAAACTGCATGATTTCACTCCTATGAGGTATCTAAAGTAGTCAAAGCCATAGAAACAGAAAATAGAACTGTGGTCACCAGGGGCTGGAGGAAGGGGGAAATGGAGCCTTGTTGCTCAATGGGTATAAAGTTGCAAGATGAAAAAGTTCTACAGATCAAACAGATCAATTTCACAACAATGTGAATATACTTAACACTGTTGAACTGTTCACTTAAAAATGGTTAAGATCAACAACAACAACAAAAAGAACAAACAAAAAAAAATGGTTAAGATAGTCAATTTTTTGCCACGATAAAAAATATAATTGAGATAATCAGGAAAAACTAAACACTAACTCTTCACACAATTAATTGCATTTGAATCCTATACTCATTTGTGACAGATACAGCTACTTAATACTCAGACAGTGGAAAGAACACTTCTTTAAAGAGGTCGAAAATCTGGCTACTAGCCCCAAATCTCCTAACTAGCTATTAGATGATATTCAAGAATCACTGTTAATTTCATTGGATATAATGACATTATAGGTATGCTTTTTGAAAAAGGATTCATACTGAAGTAGTTTTGGGGTAACATTATGTTTTCTATGATTTACCTTAATACACTCCAGCCAAAAAATAAAGAGTACAAGTGGGGCAGCGGTAGCCGAGAAAGGATGGCAGAATGGTCTTGTCATCCTTGTGAAAGCTGGGAGATAGGTACACGTACGAAAAGTTTAAAACAAACCAAACAAAATACGAGGGGGAAAAAAGCATGGATGGGTATTTGGTAGGAATGGAAGCAGGATTAATTTATTGAGATTTTGTAACAGCATCATATACTACAGATGCTATTGCTAATCTTCAAAAAGCATTGCATTTCAATTTGCATCTAACAGATTAAAAATAAAGAAACAAATGAAATTGAAAGAATGATCAAGCTTCAAGTAATGTTTCTCACCCTCTCCCCCAGCCACAGACAAACAAAAAAAAAGAAGGTCAATGGTTTAAGAATGTTGAACAGAGGGAATAAAGGTGTCATGGAGTCCTGCCCACCAGGGCCAGAATCTGGACAGTGATGGAGAAATTTCTGCTGGAAAAATGTCCGCCGAGCCAGGGAATACAAACCAGATACGACAGGGTGTTGATGTTGTTTCTCAGATACATGGGATGGACCTGTTTTCTTTCTGCTAATAGAAAGCAATCAGTCAAGCAAGGACTTCAGAGTGGATGAAGGGTATATAAGACCACACAATGATGGCATTCAAGAGAAAGAAAAGAGGTAAGGATGCAAAATTAAACAACAAAAAAAAGGACTTCATGAAAGCTAATTTCATCAAGCCCAGGTCACTGATAAGAAAGATGCAAAATCAAGAAATCAGTGAAATAACACACGACAGGTGAGTCAAAATTACCAGTGGCACCAAACAGTGGAAGTGAAACGGCACCATGGAGCCCACCTGGTGAAATCCAAAGTGAGAACTGAAAGGGAGGAAGGATGATTCATAAAATGCAGTCGGGTCACAAGAAAAGTGAGTTTGGAAGGACAGGGAAGAGAGAAAAGAATAAGGAAACCACCAAAATTTCAACTCAAAGATACATTTTAAACTGCATGGGATGGCCCACTGTCAATACTGTGGCTGCCTGGGAACAAAAAGGGTGGTCTCCAGATCTCCCAGAACCGCACTATACACCAGGAGAACAAGGAGGAAAGGAAGAAACCCCCTTTGCCTGCCAGAATGCGCACAAGGGGAGGAAGGCAAACCCCCAGCAGTTGCTTTGACACATCACCGGCCCCAGCAGCAGGTAACTCGTTACCCACTCACATTCCTCAGGACTGGCTGCTTCATGAATCCTCCGGGCACCTGTGCCCAACACAGTTCCTTAGCAAGCTCCACTGGAAAGCTGAAAAATTAACATTGAGTGTTCACTGTGCACACTGTGCCATGTGGAACTCATGCACAAGGCTTGATGGATCCCTCCTGACAAAACAATCTTGAGGTAGATGCAATAATTATCCCCATTTTAGGGTTGATGGAAACCAAGGCTCAGTAAGGGAAAGTCACCCACCCACTGCTGTCCAACGAGTGAGTAGCAGGGTTAGCCTCTCCAGTCAAAGCGAGTTTCTTCAGTCCCCATCGGAGGAAGACTATCCATCACAAGCCTAAATCACCCAGCAGGAAACTGGCCCCGCCCTGTCTTCTCAGTGAGGCCTTTTCTAACACAGGTGCTTATCTCCATCTCAGGATCAAAGGATCTGTTGCTTCTGGCAAAAGGGCCAGGCCAACAGAGTCACTCAGGACATCATAATCCCTGCCTGGTTTTTCTATGGGTCTAGAAGCCAGCGGGGATGGCCCTATCATTTCGTGGCCAGAGCCCAAGGGCAGCTCTTATAGGGTCAGGCAAGTGGGTTGGAAGCCACCTAGCAGAAGAACAGTCTCTGCATTCCACAGCCAGGCCCAGGGAGAGGAGTCTGCAGGCCCTGCCAGAGGCACACAGCACTGCCACTCCCATGGAGGCCTCATCTACCCCACTGACAGAGTGAACCCGGCTGCTCACAGAAAAATCAAACCCAAACGTGGGGTCGGAGGTGGAGGGTTCCAGTTTCCTGACTCTTCTTCAAATGTAAGACATCCTACACTGAAACTAGCTGACTCCCTTCCAGGCTCCAGTCCATGCCGGTATGGGTAAGTTGAAATCAGCCTCAAGCAAACCACTTAGAAAGAGCATGGGGTCCTAGGCCCTTGTTCGTTCTCTCTGCACCGTGAATTGGTGAACTGCATTTGAATCCCGCGCTCACCTGCAACAGACCACCTGCAACAGATGCAGCTACTTCATCACCACATGGTGGAAAAGCACCGCTTTTACTGGGAGGTAAAAGACCTGGTTTCTAGCCCCAAATCTCCTACACATCTTGTCATATTGCCTGTGACCTATCTCTCTTTGCCTTGGTTTCCTCATCTCTAAATAGGGAAAAGCAGCCTGTCCCCAATTAGCTCCCCAAAGGGTTGTATAAAATGAGGCAAGGGAGGCAAAGCCTTCCGAATTCCTAAGCAGCCACGTTCCCACCATCACCGACCACGGCGCCCATCGTTCTTCTCCCCCGAACCTTGCCCCCAAAGGCCCAGGAGCACAGACAGTAAAATAGCATCCCTCAAGGCCTGGAACAGGAGGAACTTTGCATTCCAGTAGATTTTGCTGATGCCCTCAATAGAGGTGATCCTGATAGAAGCAGAGGAAAAGAAAATATTCTTCTCTAGCAGCCAGAGGGCCCTTCCATCTTGCCTGTTCTCCCAAATTACCTGGCAACACTGCCCCTTCCCCAGAACGGCTCTGGATCAATGATTCTGGAAACCAATTAAGTCCTAAAGACAGTTTTAAAACACCAAGAGAAAAATGCTCCTGCTCCTCCTCAGCCCCACCTTCTAGAGGTATTCCTTTCTAGCAACCCCAAGGGGAGGTTCATCCCTGGGAGCTCTGCAGGAGAAGGTCCCCACGCCACACCACCTGGAAAATAGAGGGGAGTGCTCATATATGTGACCTTAGTGATCTCACAAGTGCATCAAAAAAAGCAACCGGCCAAGGAAACGGTTAAACCAGCCTGAACATGCCAGGCAGCCCCACTAGGAGTCACTGTTTGAATCAGGCTTGTGACCAAGGGTGTGTAGGCAAGGCTAGGTGGGCAAGGCTGGAGGGGAAAAGCAGGCAAACCACTCTGAAGCAGGATGGAGGGTCGAGGGCAAGGGCAGGGCAGAGGTGCACAGGGCAGGGCCGGTTCAGGGAGACCGCCGCAGGATGAGCTCTGTGATCTCCGCCCTGCTACCCAACCTCATGGGTATCCCGTAGTAGGCTGTGCCCGGGCTGACATATACGAATGTAGCCTGGGCCACTTGGTAGAGACCAGCAAAGAAGGGATTCAGGAGATAGGCTGCTACGTTCAAGGGGAAGATCTGCCCAGCATGTGTGTGCCCAGAAAGGATCAGGTTAATATCTGGCCGAGCCTGGAGAGCTCTCTTGGCAGCCAGGGGCTGGTGAGCTAGCAAGATGATTGTATGGTCTGGGCTGCAGCCCTCCAGGGCCTTGTCAAGATCCATGCCATGGCCAGAGTAGTGCAGGATGTCTGCTTCAATATCGTCCACCCCAGCCAAGCAGATCCAGTCCTCATCCTCACTCCCACCACCACTGCCACCACCACCACGTTGGGCCCGTGTGGCGGAAATCTTCACGTTCTCATTATGAAGAGGCTGGACATGCAGGGATTCCAGAAGTGCAAACCAGTTGCTGACATCTGACGTGTAGTACTCATGATTGCCTGTGACGAAGTAGGCACCGAGACGTGAATGAAGCTGGCCCAGAGGAGCGACAGCCGTCCGCAGGACCGAGGCTTCCGAGTCGGAGAGGTCACCCACGATCACGGTGACGTCTGGTTCCAGCACATTCACCATCCCCACAAACATCTCCATCTTGGTCCTGCCCACTGTGGGGCCCAAGTGAATGTCTGAGAGGAGCACGATCTTGAGGTTGTTCATCGAGGCGGGCAGCTGATGGATGGGCACCTCCACAGTTTTCACAGCCGGGGGCTGCGCAGCATTCAGAATCCCGGCCACGCTGAGCACAGCAGTCACTCCCACTGCCAGGGCAGGCCTGAGCACCAGCTTCCTTGTCTTGTCAAGGCTGCCCACGACCCTACCACTGCGCCAGGCCAAGAGCTGGTAGGCCTGCTCCATGCCGCTGAGGATGCAGAGGAAGAAGAGCATGATGATGTAAGCACCCAGGCAGGAGTAGGCTGCCAAGGAAAAGAGATAGGGCTCCTCAGCCACTAAAAAAAACATGGTGAAGAAACTGGAATGGGCCAGGGCCAGAAATGCCAGAACCACCACCTTCCAAAGCTGAAAACAGGTCGACTCCGCAGCTGGGGAGTGGCAGAGGTTGCTAACTGTGCTGCGCCAAATGTAGAGGGAGCCAATGAGCAAGAGCGAGTTGACAAACAGGGCAAGCTGCAAGCGAAGCAGCCAACGCCAGGCCCTGAGCTCAAGGCTGTCTGCCAGATACGAGCGGGAGGCGATCATGGACACGAAGACAGTGACGGCAGCCAGGGTGGCCTTCGCGCCTAGGGACAGCTGCCTGAAGATGGCCATTTTCTCTGCTCCTAGGAGGCTCCCCCACCAGTTCTGTGCTGGTGGACTCTGGAAATGAGTTCTTTAGAAAGGACAGTGGCCAAGGAGAGGTTTCCAGGTCAACTCCGCCTGCAACCAGGAACCAGCATCAGCTTTGTGGGATATTAGAGCATCCTTGTACCCATTCAAAACTCAAAGGCCACTTACGTCTGCCCAACCCACCTTGAATCCAAGCCACTCAAATACCAGTGAGTTGCTAGCTATACTTTATGATTCAAAAAGAAACTCACAGCATTGTGACATGATGGGCAGTTTTCATTTTCTTACCACATTTTCTATACGTTTAAAGTTTCTCTACAGTGAGCATGCACTTGTTTTAAAAGAATGTTCCAAATCAGCGGTATTCAAAGTGCGGTCTGGAGAGAGCCCTTCAGGGGTCCAATTAGTCAAAACTATTTTTATTATAATTCCAAGCCATTACTGCCTTTTCCATTCTCACTCTGTCCTGAGGGTGGAATTTTCCAGAGGCTATGTGACATGTGATATGGCAACAGATTTCATGCAGAAATAAACATGAAAATTTGACTGTCTTCTATTAAGAGACATTGAAAGAGATTTGCAGAAATGTAAAACAGTGCAACTCTTCACCCTAAAATTTGGGGAGAAATACTATTGTTTTTCAAATATATATAGTTTATTAATGTATAATGATGTATTATTTCTTAACAAATAGTTTAAAATATTCTCTAGGGCTGGGCACAGTGGCTCACGCCTATAATCCCAGCACTTTGGGAGACCGAGGCAGACAGATTACCTGAGGTCAAGAGTTCAAGACCAGCCTGGCCAACATGGTAAAACCCTGTTTCTACTAAGAATTCAAAAATTAGCCAGGCATGGTGGCGGGCACATGTAATCCCAGCTACTCGGGAGGCTGAGGCAGGAGAACCACTTGAACCTGGGAGGTGGAAGTTGCAGTGAGCCAAGATCATGCCGCTGCACTCCAGCCTGGGCGAAAGAGTGAGGCTCTGTCTCAAAAAAAAAAAAAAAAAAGGAAGAAAATATTCTCTTAATTTCTAGGACAGCTAAAATTTAGTTAAAATTTGAGAACCGCTGGGTCACGAGGTCAGGAGATCAAGACCATCCTGGCTAACACAGTGAAACCCTGTCTCTACTAAAAATACAAAAAAAAAAAAAAAAAATTAGTTGGGTGTGGTGGCGGGCACCTGTAGTCCCAGCTACTTGGGAGGCTGAGGCAGGAGAATGTCTTGGACTGTAAAGAAATGTAAACAAGGAGATAATGAAAAGCTAGACTGCTAGTATCTTTCTTCAGCTGTGGGCACAGGAGCCCAAGAGGGACACCTAGGCACCTGACATGAGAATTCCTGGGGTGATGCCAGCCTCCCTGTGTGGGCCTCAGGTATGGTAGCCACAGGGCATCCATCCTGACCCAATGATGCTGCACTAGACTGATGAGCTTACATCAGACAGACTGACCCTGTCCACCTGCTCCTGGTTCATAAATCCTTCTCTCTCTCTCTACCCCCACTCCCAGATACTGGTTAAAATCTGCCTTTCCCCCAGCCCCTTACCCTGCCACTGTTCTCCTGAACTGTGCCCCACTTCCACCTTCCCCAGTGGTTCTCACAGCTGGCTAGCTCTGACTCCTAAGGTCCTACGGGCCTTGTGGACAAGAACTCTGTCTACATACTGGGGTAGGGGAACCACAGACGGGGTGAAGAGGGAAAAGTAAATAATCTGTGCTTTTTCCCAAAATGAAAACATTTTCAGCAGCTGTTTTCCAAATACTTAAGATGTTCAATCTTGGTTGCAGATAAATGTACCACTTTTCTCTGCACTAGGCGCGTTATTGAAAGCCCTATTAAAGGGTGTAACTTACAAGTCCACGGTGTCAAATGCCACCAGCTCTTACTTAAAGCGTGCTGCAGGCTCGGCCCACCTACACCCTGAAGGAACCAAAGTTGGTCCGCGGAACGTGCAGAGGAGCAGCTTGCAACTATCCACTCTCCTTTCCGCAGGTCTGATGCAAACCTCCCCAGGCAGCGCTTAGGAACCCCCTAAGCCCGTCGCCTCAGCTCAGACGAAGCTAGTGAAGCTGCCCTTACCCTCCCACCAAACGTGCACGCCCCGCACCTCACCTATTCGCCTCGCCAGACCTCCCCCCATCAATGTTGGGATCCCCCCGCAGCCTGCCTATTCCCCCACGCAACCTGGACCCCCAAACGCCGAAGGAAAAGGGTCCCACAAATACGAAGAAAAACCGGAGCCAAAGGGCAGGCGACGGGAAGTGGTGAGAAGGCAACAAGATGCACGAAGAGGGCGAGCACCCAGAGGGAAAATAACCCAGTGCTCCCACAGCAGGGGCCTCTCTTGACCCCATTTTTCTCCTTCCGGAGCGCTCCGCAGAGCACGAACTGGGAAAGCGAGGGCGCCCCAAACCAGAACCCGAGGCACCCTCTAACCCGCGCAACTTGGAATCCCCTCCCGGAAAGCCAACTAAGGAAATCTTTAGGCGAACCTCGTCTCACCACCTCGTTACAGATAGGGAAGTGAGTCCAAGCGCAGAGGGCAGCCGGAGCGGAACGCACAAGCGACCGAGCTGCCTGGAAGGACGCGCGCCCCGCCCGGCCCGCCCCCGACGGGAAGGCCGGTCCACTGCCTGCGTTCCGCCGGCCGCCTGCCTGCTGGGGGGCACTTCGGGGCTCAGGCTCTCCGCCCTGCGGGACCCCGGGTGGCTGCGGCCCGAGTCCGGTTCCCCGCCAGCCTGTCCCCTAGCAATGCCTCCCCGTACCCGAGTCCCGCAGACTTACCCGCAAGCCGCGCGTAGGGCCCAGAAGCAGCAGAGCCAACAGCAGAGGGAGGATGCGAACCAGGAACCCCGGCATGACCACCAGCCTCCCGGCTCTGCAGTCGGCGCCCAGGCCGGCCGCTCCGCGTCACTTGACTAAGGACCCGCGGCCTGGCACCGCCCCTCGTCCGCCCAGCAGCCAGCCCTCGCGCCTGCTCAGCCCCGCGCTCCGCCCCGCTGTGGCCGAGCCGGGCGGGTGGGGGCGGTAGGGGCGGCTAGGAGGCTGCGCGCGGCCGCGTGACTCCAGGATAGTACTATCTGGGTTTTGCAGGCGTCTTGCCTGGGAGGGGACCCTTTGTAACGGCAATCGGGAGGCCCTGCTTTCAGCAGCTTGATAACGCGCCTCGGAGATTGGACATGAATCATGGTCTCCCTGTTTTCTGGCTTCCTTGAGAGAGCAGAAGAGGGAAATTGTTAATTACTAAACCTAAACGCCCTAGATCAAGTCCGCGTATCATATACGGGCTCTTTGAATAATTCTAAACTAGGGGTTAGCAAAATGTGGTCGGTCCCTGGAGCCACTGTATCAACTCACCTGGAACTTGTTAGAAGGAAAATTCTGCTCACGCCTGTAATCCCAGCACTTGGGAGGTCGAGGCGGGCGGATCGCCTGAGGTCAGGAGTTCCAGACCAGCCTGACCAATATGATGAAACCCCATCTGTACTAAAAATACAAAAATTAGCCGGGCGTGGTGGCATGCGCCTGTAATCCCGTCTACTGGGGATGCTGAGACAGGAGAATCACTTGAACCCAGGAGGCGGAGGTTGTGGTGAGCCCAGATCAAGCCATTGCGCTCCAGCCTGGGCAACAAGAGTGAAATTCCGTCTCAAAAAAAAAGTTAAAAAAATAATAATAATAACCTTAGTTTGTGCCTTGGTGTTCCAAAAAAGCCTTTTACATTGTATAACAAAGTAGCCAAAAATTCTATTTGTTCACTCCTTTCTCCTTTCCTACCGGACATTTCCTTGAGAGATTAAGAAAGTATCAGTCACTGGCTTTTCTTCCTCAGGTTTTTGTTTTTTGGTTTGGGGGTTGTTTTTTTTGTTTTGATTTTGTTTTTTTGGGACAGGTTCTCACTCTGCCTCTCAGGCTGGAGTGCAGTGGCGCGAACACGGCTTACTGCAGCTTTGGCCTCCTGGGCTCAAGCAATTCTCCCGTCTCAGCCTACCAAGTGGCTGGAACTACAGGCGCGCACCACCACACCCGGCTAATTTTTGTATTTTTTGTAGAGGCAGGGTCTCACCACGTTACCCAGGCAGGTCTTGAATTTCTGGAATCAAGCAATCTGCCTGCCTGCACCTCCCAAAATGCTGGAATTACAGACATGAGCCTCCGTGCCTGGCTTCTTTTCGTGCCTGGAGTACCAATTCCGTGTGCTTGCACTGTGAAGTCCTTTCCAAGCTCTGCAATTCTAGTTCAGTATTAAAGAACAAGGGCTCTGGTGGCAGTACACTTGAGTTGGAATTCCATCTCTGCCACTTACGATCTGTGTGACTGTGGGCAAATTAACCTTAGTTTCTTTGTTGGTAAAACAGGGATAATAATATCAAATTCACTGGATAATTGGGGAAATTACTAGCGATGATGACGATAAGAAGCTTGGCATATACAGGATGTTAGTGGGACAGTTGCTGAAATCACAATTAGACTTGTAGGCTAGATTAGTACCATGCATCAATGTTCATTTCCTTTTTTGGGGGTGGGAGGACAGAGTCTCACTCTGTCACCCAGGCTGGAGTGCAGTCGTGCAATCTCGGCTCACTGCAACCTCCGCCTCCCAGGTTCAAGTGATTCTCCCGCCTCAGCCTCCCAAGTAGCTGGGATTACAGGAACCCACCATTAGGCCCGGCTAATCTTTGTATTTTTAGTAGAGATGGGGTTTCACCATGTTGGCCAGGCTGGTCTCGAACTCCTGACCTCAAGTGATTTGCCCACCTCGGCCTCCCAAAGTGCTGGGATTACAGGCATGAGCCATTGTGCCCGGCCGCATCAATGTTAACTTTCTGATTTTGATAATGTTACACGCTCTAAATATGAAATAATAGTTTTGTATTGGTGTATTGATTTGGGTAATGGTAATGGTAATTTTGGTAATGGTTATATAAAAGAACATCCTTGTTTTTTAGGAAACAAAAGGGCATCATCTTTGCAACTGATTCTCAAACAGTTCACAAAAAAAAAAAAAAAAAAAAATGTAGAGAGAGAGAGAGAAATGGTATTCCAGGCATGAAAAGAACCTGAGAAAGAAAAGCAAATGTGGTAAAATGTTAACATTTGGAAAATCAATGAAGGAGTTCTTTTTACTTTTTTTCAACTTTTTGTTTCTAAGCCTGAAATTATTGCAAATGAAGTTTAAAAACAAAACAAAACAAAAATCCTTACCACAAGGCAGATTCGACTTTTTCTACCTTCTTTCCTACTCTGTACACTCAAGGTTATCATATGCAATAGGTATTTTTCACTAAATTGAAGTCGAAAGGGTTTAGAGCAGGAGTTGGCAAACTAAGGGCAGAGGATCAAATCTGGCCTGTTGCCTGTTTTTTTCTTTTTTAAAATTATTTTTATTAAGAATCTGCACAATTTGCTGCCAGTTTTTCTATGGCCTGCCAGCTAAAAATAGTTTTTACATTTTTAAATGAATGAAAAAAAATCAAAAGAATAATATTTTATGACACTTGAAAATGATGTAAGTTTCCTGTGTCAGTGTCCATAAATAAAGTTTTGTGGGGTTGGTTTTTGTTTTTATGTTTTTCGTTTTTTTGAGACACAGTCTTGCTCTGTCACCCAGGCTGGAGTGCAGTGGTGTGATCATAGCTCACAGCAGCCTCGAACTCCTGGGTTCAAGCAGTCCTCCCATGTCGGCCTCCTGAGTAGCTGAGTAGCTGGGACTACAGGCAAGTGTCACCATGCCTGAATAATGTTTGTTTTTTTTTTCCTAAAGATGAGATCTTGCCTTGTTGCCAGAGTTGGTCTTGAACTCCTGGCCTCAAGCGGTCTGCCCACTTTGGCTCCCAAAGTGCCAAGATTACACATAAATTGTTTTCTTAGAACACAGCCACCTGCAATCCTCTGCATATTGCATATGGCTGCTTTCACGCTACATCGGCAGAATGGAGTCATTGCAACACAGACCTTAGGACCTACAAAACTGAATATATTTATGTTCTAGCCCTTTACAGTATAAGCTTGCCAAAGGAATATAGATTGTAGTTTGTTTCTGAGATTTTTAGTACTTGACTATGTATTGTAGTTGAAATAGCAATAGTAGTAATAGCCGTCGTCGTGCTGAATGCTTTACCAGTATGTGTCACTATTGCTCCCAATCCGAGCTACATGCTATTATCCGCATTTCACAGATGAGAAAGCTGAGACCCAGAGGAGTTAAATGACTTGCCAGTAGCCACAGAGTTGGGAAGTAGTCGAGTCTCTAAAGTTACATTGCCTGATGTTAGGGCCTGAGTTATTTTCACCAGGCTATGCTTCTGCCCGTAGTGTACTGTTTAGTTCCCGTTTAAATGCACAGAGTGTGCTGGATGCAAAGTCCCTGCATACTAGAGAATATGAAGGGACCATGAGAAGGCTGTCTCCCTGCAGGAACTCATCTGTAAATGTGGTACATGCTCTAATATAGACCAGTACTTCTCAAAGTCTGATCCTCAGACCAGTGCTGTGCAATAAGTACAGAAATTCAGCCTAGGCACTTAGAAACTTGGAGCAGTTTAAGAAAGTAAGTCTATCTGTTGAATCTAATAATGAAGAGAATTATTATACATCTATTTTTATTTCATTGTTCTAGTTTTTTTTTTTTTTTTAGACAGAGTTTCGCTTTTGTTGCCCAAGCTGGAGTGCAATGGCGCGGTCTCGGCTCACCACAACCTCCGCCTCTTAGGTTCAAGTGATTCTCCTGCCTCAGCCTACCGAGTAACTGGGATTACAGGCGTGCGCCACCACGCCTGGCTAATTTTATATTTTTAGTAGAGATAGGGTTTCTCCATGTTGGTCAGGCTGGTCTCAAACTCCCGACCTCAGGTGATCTGCCTGCCTCGGCCTCCCAAAGTGCTGGGATTAGAGGCGTGAGCCACCGCACCTGGCCTCTAGTAGTTTCTGTTTGCTTCTTTGTTTTTGAGACAGAGTTTCACTTTGTTGCCCAGACTGGAGCACAGTGACATGATCTTGGCTCACTGCAACCTCCACCTCCTGGGTTCACCCAATTAAACCTCAGCCTCCTGAGTAGCTGGGACTACAGGTGCACACCACCATGCCAGGCTGATTTGTTTGTATTTTAATAGAGATGAGGTTTCACCATGTTGCCCAGGCTGGTCTTGAGCTCCTGAGCTCAGGCAGTCCACCCCCCTCAGCCTTCCAAAATGCTAGGACTACAGGCATGAACTACCTCACCCGGCCTATTTTTCTAATAATTTATTTTTATTGAATTTTTTGGAAAGGATCAATCCTTGATAGACAGGAAAGAACACTAATAACTTAGAAAACAAAACAACAACAACAAAAAAAACAAGGTGGCACGCCTGTGATCCCAGCACTTTGGGAGGCTGAGGCAGGTGGATCGCGAGGTCAGGAGATTGAGACCATCTTGACTAACATGGTGAAACCCGTCTCTACTAAAAATACAAAAAATTAGCCGGGCGTGGTGGCAGGCACCTGTAGTCCCAGCTACTTGGGAGGCTGAGGCAGGAGAATGGCGTGAACCCAGGAGGCGGAGGTTGCAGTGAGCTGAGATGGCGCCACTGCACTCCA